GATTGCAACAGTCTCGTGCAGTGCTACAGGCAGGGGACAGTGTGGCTGGAAAGCTGCTTGTCAGAGAGGAACCTGCAGGTGCTGGTTGACAGCAGCTGAAGAACATGAGCTAGCAGTGTGCCCAGATGGCCAAGAAGGCCAATGGCATTCTGGCTCTGTATCAGGAAGAATGCAACTAGTGTGGCCAGCAGGACCGGGACTGTCCCCCTGTACTCAGCACTGATGAAGTCACACCTCAAGTGCTGTGTCCAGTCCTGGACCCCTCAATAAAAGAAAGACATTAAGGTGTTTGAGGAAGTTCAGAGAAGGACTGGTGAAGAGTCTGGAGCACAGGTTTTATGAGAAGGGTCTGAGGGAGCTTGGGGTGTTTAGTCTAGAGAAAAGGAGGCTCAAGCTGGGGGGGGGAGGAGACGTTTTCACTCTCTACAACTGCCTGGAAGGAGGCTGTAGCGAACTGAGGGTCAGCCTCTTTTCCCGGGTAACAGAACTCCAGCAGGCTCACGGGGAGTAGGCACGGGACAAGGCTGCAGTGCCCCTCTCTGCCAGCAGGCGGCGGCAGCCAGGGCTGGACGGGCGCTGCAGGGCCCCGCTCGGGCCACGGGGCGGCGCCAGCAGCAGCTCCCGCTCCCGCTCCCACCCGAATCCCGCTCCTCAGCAGCCCGCCGGATCGCCCTGCGCTCACCGCAGTCGGAGAAGCGAAAGCTAAATCTCACCTGACGCCGTTTCATCTCCCTCTCGGGGCAGGAAGAGCTCCCAAGACAGGAGGGGGAAAGAATGAAGTGCCGTGGGGATGCCAGTTTCGGGGCCGCGTGGCTCAAGTGCGCTGCACGTAGCTTTGGTGAACATTAAGGGAAATGAATACAAATACGTGCAGCCTGGTCTCTGAGGAGGAAGGCTGATGCTTTTTGTCCCATGTCAACGAGCTGCTGAGAAAGCTCGCTCTAGTGTCCCAGGGAGACCCTGCAGAAAAGCAAGTCTCAGCAATTTCATTCCTCCAGCAAGGCAGACTAGCGTCACAGCTTGGAAGGCAATTCTTACACGGTAATTACTCTGGTACATTTAAATCAACTTACTATTACCATCTTAGTCCTTTTCCCATCTAAGGAGTAGAAAAATTCCCATTTTTGCCACAGTACCATCAACTTTATAAACTGCTGCATGCTACAGACTTCATTTCTTTATTGTTACTTTACTCGCTGGGGAGTTTTGTTTTCCACCTTTCTCCCATAAAGTGGGCAGCAGAAGATGAGCAATCCAAGCAACTTTTTAGGGCTTACTGTAGCTTTCTGTTGTCTTTGTGAGCCAGATGTGTGGGTATGCAGATGCTACACGTGCCTCCCTAGAGCAGAGAGCCTGCACCCAGAGGTCTTTCCACAGCTGTGACCATCAAGCAGTTTCTTCACAGGCAGTGCAGCATCTTGCGCTCACCTGTCCTTAGAGTGGTACTTGCTAGTACTGGGATCTGTGCTTCTCGGTCAAACATACATCTCCAGGGATTTGCATGGTATTCCAGCCTCCTCGTGTCTCTGAGGGTGGCTTTGGCTCTGCAGTCCAGGGAAGGAAATCTTTTTCAACGTTCTCCCCAGGCACAGGCGGAGACCTGACACAAAAGTTCTGCTGTGGCAGAGTTGGCCGAGAGTGGGATATCCAGGGAACCCAGATACCTGAGCTGCTCCTGCCTGTGGGCAGCACTATTCCTTCCTGCAGGCACCTCTCCTGCAGGCTTCCCTCAGAGCCCAAACTGAAGCTGGGAATTCAAAAATGGGTTTTCCAGCCACTGGCTCCTGTGGCACTGTACAGCCAATCCCTAAGAGAGCTGCCGACAGCGGGGAACCACAGCCCTGGCCAGACACGGGACACAACAGCAAAGACACACCTGTCACCCACGGGCTGCAGATCTCAGCAGGACCTGGCTGGTGTTCGTGCTTTGTGCTCTTTTTTATTCCTGTAGCTGGCATTCACAAAGTCTTTTCAATAAAAGGGAAATACTTTCTAATATGGATCAGTGCAATGGGAATTGCAATGCGACTTATTTGCCTGACCTGAGGGTCATGTTTCGTGATGTATTTCTGTACCAGAGTCTGAGGTTATATTTAATGTGTCCTTTGGGTGCTCGCTGGGAATGAGGAAGGTAGATGAGCAGACACATGTCTTAGAAGAACTGCTGAGTTCAGAGCTGGTCCTGATGACTAGCAGCAAGACACAAAGGTAATTTTGTCAGTGGGTAATGCATTTACAAATATATTGCATTTCCAACGGAGCAGGTGTTGGCTGCCCTATACAGACAAGGGCACAAGGGAGGATAGCTCTGTGGGGACCCAGACTGTTGCCCATATAATGACTCATGGAAAGGGCATTAGAATAACTTTGAAGTCCATCTGCCACCTCAAGCCCAGCTTTTTCTGTTGCCCAAGATGTGTATGAGTTGTAAATACTCAGATGCCCTCAGTCTGGCCTTCGTGTGGTTTTTGCTTTCTTCCTCATTAAGGCCGTTTTGTCTTCAGTATTCCCACCAAACACTTCCCATAAACTGCAGTTTTGATTGCAGCACATCTAAAGAGGTGGGTGATGAGCTGGTGTTGTCCAGTGGGTGCCTGTAGCACTGCTTTGCCCTCAGATTGCGGAGAAGCCTGGCTGTCTCATTTTGGTGAAGCATCAGTGACTGGACCAACTTTCAGACTAGCCAGGGAACACTTGCTGAACAGGTAGGAAGGCATGGAATAAAAAGCTGTCTCAATTCATTACTGTGGATGTGTGTTTGTAATTCTGCACCTGTGTTATGGTTTAACCCCAGTCAGCAACTCAGCCTCACTCACTCCATCCCTCCCTTTCCCTGGTAGGATGAGGAGAGAATCAGAGGGGTAAGAGTGAGAAATCTCATGGGTTGAGATAAAGAGTGTTTAATAGGCAAAGCAAAAGCTCCACACACAGGCAAAATGAAACAAGGAATTAATTCACTTCTTCCCGTGGCCATGGAGGTGCTCAGCCATCTCCGGGAGAGCAGGGCCCCATCACATGTAACAGTGACTTGGGAAGACAAACGCTCATCAACCTGAATGTCCCTCCCTTCCTCCTTTTTCCCTCAGCTTTATATGCAGAGCATGTCACCATACGGTGTGGGATATCCCTTTGGTCAGTTGGGGTCAGCTGTCCTGGCTGTGTCCCCTCCCAGCTCCTTGTGCATCCCCAGCCCACTCACTGCTGGGGTGGGGTGATGAGCAGAAAAGGCCTTGGCTCTGTGTAAGCACTGCTTAGCAGTAGCTAAAACATCCCTGTGTTATCAACACAGTTTGTTTCCAGCACAAACCAGCTACTGTTAAGAAAATTAACTCTACCCCAGCCAAAACCAGCACAGCCTGGTCCTATGAAAGGCCCTAGTTCTCGAGAAGAAGGTACAAGGAGGTCCCCTAACAGCAACATCCTAACCAGACCTTTTCCTTTAGCACCCAAGAGAGACCACAATGAGATAATCAAAAGGCATCGTCTTCACCCATCGAGGCTGAAAACGAAACCAAATGGGTAAGTCACCTGAAAATTTCACAGCAATCCAGTCATTCCAGATAAACACCTGCACAGCATGACAGACAGGTTTTCCTGGTGTCAGGCAATTAAATTTTTATCCAGGTATAAATCAAAACACCAGCTTACAAATTACCATCATAAAACATTGCTGGAGGTTATGTTTCCCTGTTTCTTTTCTACCTGTATCTTTCTGGAACGTGCTGGTTTAGATTTGTCATAGAGTAAAGCAGAAATGGAATTCAGGTATACGGATGAGCCTTAAAACATTGGAAACAACATTGTGAACATTTTTTAAAGCTGCTTGTGCCTTCATTCATTGGATATTATACTCACTTGAATCCATTTTGTGTTATTATGGGGATGCATGCACAGACATAAAGCTACCACAGGAGTTACAGCTACTCACTGTGTTCGCCTTCAAAGAAGCTGAAGGTCTGTCCTGTCAGCTGGATTGTCCACTTGTAACTGATACCCCCCTCCCTGATTTACACATGTTGGGAAAGTGCCCAAGAAGGAGCTGGGCCATCCGCCAGTTTGCTGACTTCTTACTGTCATAGACTGAGGTCTGTGAAATTAGACTTTACTGCACTACAGAATGACTTAAGTGCATTACCTCGCCCCTTTGAGACAAACAAATTAAATTTGCTGCTGCTGGTGTATTCTATGCTATACTGGGCACTCTGCCTTTTCTTTATTCTAGCCTTATAGCATCAAAACATTAATTGAAAGACGGTGGTAACATACTGTCTGCATTAAGTGACATTTTACCATGCAGGCCTATCTCCTTTATGTTTTTTCTAGTCAGATGTTTCTGAAATTTCAGTAAGAAATAAGGAAAATATTTTGCATGGCTTTGTCAAATGTTTTGAATGTAGTTTGGGTAAAGGTCAAGTGTTCCTATGTGGTCAACAAGTGACAACCAACGTTTAACAACATGCCATTTAAAATGTGTTAGTTAAAGAAATCTAAAAGTGCTGCTTTTCCAAAGGCTCATGCAGTAATATGCTGAATTCAGAAACAGGTACATTGTGACTGTTGTGGTAAGAAGAGGCCCAAGGGTCAAAGCAAAGAAAAAGGGGATGAGGTGCCTGTGGAGAAGAGAAGGTATAAATCTTGCTGAAACAGTAGGCAACTCAACTCACCTTGCATAGGGTATTAATGCTGATCCTCACTGCTGGTCTTCTGGTCTTGGCTTCCCTGAAATTAAGACCAGGGGCCCATGTCTCCTGAGTGCCAGGAGTACTGGTTATCAGCCCCTTCAGAGACGTCTTGTGGAACAGCTGTGTCTCCTTCCCAGCTGCCCAGAGCCTGCTTATGGATGCTGCAGCATGTGGAAAGGATCCTCCACTCCATCTCTGCAGTTTCAGCCCAGACCTAAAGCAGCATACTGGAAAAGATGCACTCCAGCATCTCATTCGCTGTTCACACTGTGATTTAGGATTAACAGCTGTTAGGATAGAAGGAGAATACATTCAGGGTTTTGTTTGTTGCAAGGGTGTTTAAAAACAGACCTTGTAAATCCTCAAACAACGGAGGCGTTGGCAGGGTGCAACTGCATCACACTGTGCTCTGCGTAAGAGGGAACTCTGGCCAGCCATAGTTGGAGCAAGATGATCTCAGGGAGGCAGGGAGGGAATGGGGCCAGAGAAGGGGGAGATTTAACAGAAGTTAAATGTACTTTCATGGAATATAGGTCTGCCTCCATGCCTCTAAACAGTTTCTGAGAGAAGCCTCACATCAAGGCTTTGCAGCAAGGTAGCAAAGGCACACGGACTGTGGGGAGGCATCAGAAGAAAATTATTCTCGTGCCTTTTTACTCTATGGCAGCAGGAACAATCTCTAAACTTCCAGCCAGAAACAATGAAAAGTCTGCCCCCAGAGAAACCAGCACTGCTGGGGCATCCAGTCAGGCTCTCACAGGGCTGGTGACAAACACCAGGCAAATGCCCTCCATTAGGATCACTGTTAAACACATTTTCCATGAGCAGCACTTGTTTTCTTTAAGATTCTTAGGTCAGTTCTGCCAAAACTGCCTTAAATCTCAGATGTCCATAGCAAATAGGGATGGCAATCCAAGTCAGAATACATCACTAAACCCTTGGAGGAGAGTAGAAGATGGTTCTTCTTTATATTAATGTCACCTCTCCACCATTAATGGCTTTACATTCCTATTGATAATAAATATGGAATATGGGATTGAAAGATAAATTATGGGATGCCCCAGACACTTAAGATATAAGACCAAAAAAAAAGGAATGTGGGCTTTGCTCAGTTAAGAGCTGTACTTGATACTCCTTTGAAAAGGAATCACAAGTCACTAGCATTTTCTTAGGGTGTGGGAGTGGAGGGCAGATGAATGAGAAATAAAGCTCCCCATTCCCTGGAGCTGCTGGATGAGGGAGCAGACAACAGTGAGCACAGCCAGCTTCTCCACCCATCAGGATGCCTATAGGAGATCACCACCAAAAGGTGGTGTCCTTGCTTGTCTGGAGAAAAGTCTGGCAGGCAGAGAAAGAGCTTGCCTCTGTGCTCCAGGGCTGTTGGACAGCGAGGAACTGTGCATGACCTGGCAGCATCTTAAACAAGTGCCTTTAATATTGCAAAGCTGATTCGAATCCAGGAGGATCCTTATTAGTATGCATTGATCTCTAAAGAAGAGTGGTTGCTAAGGAAACCACTTAAAAGCCTGCTTTAAAATATTTGCTACATATTCAAAAGCCAGAACAATTTCCTGCTGTCAAATTACAACAGCTCTTCAAAGATCATTAGGAATATTCTTCAGTCATTAAGAAAGAAATATCCACATGGTTCTTCTCAGCAGACAGATGATGGAATTCTGATACGGGATATTATCTTTGCAAAACTGAACTTTTGGCACTGACACAAAATCAGCTGTGCTACAGCACAGCCATTCCAAGGATCAGATTTTTCAACTACATATTCCTAATACAAAGTTATCATGTCTGACATCCTAATATTTTGAAGTATCACAGCTTCTAACTTACACTTCCCTAGAGTCATAGAATCATTTAGGTTAAAAAAGTTCAAGGAGAAATTCAATTTGCACAGCTAACATGCTGTAAGTGGAGAATGCCAAAGGCACAACGTGAAGGGCTAGAAACATTCTGTTCTAACTCATTTTCCCTGGCATTTAAGAGGACATATTCTTCACTAGGGACACAGAAAGCTCAGCAAAAACCTTTCTTTCTGTTTCCAAATAAACTGCTGAATACTCAAAAGCCATTAAAAGTCAGGATAAACAATTCAACCATATTCTTTTACTTTCAGAAAACACAGTGTATTTGAAGGGTGTGTTAGTTAACTTCACTCGTAGTAGCCCTCATAGTGCTGTGCTTTTTATTTGTAGCTGGAGTGGTGTTTAAAACACAACAGTGTTTTGGTTGCTGCTGAGCAGAGCTGGCACTGCTCGCTGAGGAGGGCAAGTGATAGAGTGGCTTTGTGGGTGAGGTCAACCCACCCGAGGTCAACCCACCGCTCCTGAGATCATCAAGCACAGAAACCTGACTTTGGTTTTAATGACAACAGCCAATCCTCTAGGCATGCTCTTGGTCTGACCTTCCCAGAAAATTTATGGTGTTCATGTATAGGAGCTTATTTTCCATCTTCACCAGGACAGAAACAAGCCATGACATCTGAATTCAGAGGAATCCTCCAGGAACAGATGTACATTTGACTCTCACCTTTCCTAGGAATCAGAACTGGTTTAGAGCCAGCAGTTTGATCTGGGTGCTCCTGGGATTGTGCTGAAGTTACACCATCACCCTCGTGTTTCAGAGTGCCTTCTGTCTGTGTGTAAGTCATGAGTCCCAAATGAGACAGAAACTTATTGAGTAAGATAACCAGAGGAAAAAAGATTACCATGTCACACATCTAGCTCACAAGAAGTGATGTCACATCACCTGTAAAAGTATAGAGCATGAGTTGGAGAATTAGGCATTGCACAACATTTGAACAGTGCCAAAACCAACAGGGTTTCACTTTTCTATTTCTTGTTTCTAATCAGAACACCTGCCAGCTTGCTTAGTCATGTTTCAATGTTAACACCAGGATTATTTATGCAAGGACAGTACTTGGCAAGGGTGCCAAAAAGCACATTTCCCGGGAAGAAGAAAGCTGCTTTTCACCCACACCCTGAGGACTGTGTGCAGCGTCTGTCAGCAAGGAGAAGCATGGTTGCTCCACCAAGGCCGGGATAAGGGTAACGGTGAAGCAGACAGGGACCTCACTGATAGCTCCAGGGCACCTGAACAGGGAGAGCCAGGCCAGTTGGTGACAGCAATAGGCAGAGCCTGCAGAGTTTCTCAGCACACAACAGCAGCCATGCACGCCTTTCCCACAATAGCTCACCTGACCTTGTAGGGCTGCCTCTGGAAAGTGCTGTGAGAAATTACAGCTGCTGCCAGTTATTTCAAAGTCAGGGTTAAGACAGTGGCTACTTCCCTTCACCGCCACCACAGGATGTTTTCTGGTCTCTTCTGATCTGCTAGAGAGATAATTAGCTAAAAGTGTGCCATAAGGCAAAATCCTTCACCTATGAGGATAGAAAGTTGTAAAAGTTCTCCCGCTTGTAATGTCAGGCATTGCAGAGCACGTGCTGGTGAGAAGAGCACAGTGTTCAGACCCAGTTTGCTCTGCATTTATAGCTTGATCAGAGATCTAATACATGGAGATTACAATGGACATTTGTTTTCCACCCAGCCCAGAATCCCAGCTGCTGTGTGTTCAGTTACAACTCTGGGCAGGACAGCTTGCTAGCACATGGGCAAACAACCTGCCCTCACCCGCAGTAGTTTGGTTTGTTTTCCAGTCACTCAAGACAGTTGATTAACGTTTTAGAATCTGATGATGGAAGCATGCAGGAAAGAAGGATGAGTGAAAAAGGGAAGAGAGGTAGCAGGAGAGAAATAATCACAGAGAAACATGTGCAAATCATGAAGGGAAAGGAGAACAAAATAAAGTAGAATAGGTGGCAGGGGAGGGAAAGGTCAGGAACATGACAAAGAAGCAAAACCAGAGGCAGGAAGACAGATAAGAACAAGGGAGATAATCTTTCAGGAGCAGAAATTCTTTATGAGGAGAGCTGGAATCTAGAAAACTTAATTCATCCTTTAGGAAAAAAAAAAATGCAAGGGAAAATCCGAATTAACAGTTTGCAGTCAAAACCAGATGTTGCATAGCTCAAGTTCCTGCCCTTCCGGTTTCTGATTTCTTTTTGCCTCCCATCCTCTGAGTCCTGCCAGAGGCCCCCCAGAGTACCAACTGCTGCACCATAGCCCATCCCCTTGCCCCATGCCCCAATCTGGTCCTCTGCATATCCTTGCTGTTGTGCCCTGGCTTTGTCTTCAAGCCTGCTGCCTTCTCACAGAGCTATTTCTTCTGCTTTCTATTCTTTCTCCAGTCACCTCAAATTCCATACTGCTGCCACTTCAGCTGCCTCCCACTTGCCTTCCAAAACCCCATAAATGTAAGAGTAATTCCACTGCACATAAAGCAGTAGAAACATTTATAACTTCCACGCTGGCCTCTCACTGCAAAGTATATGGGGCAGAAATTGTCTCCTGGCACTTGTGTCCTCCATATCATATACGACCCTGACACTTCTTGGAAGCCCCTGCTGATGCCACTCTGTAAATTTTTGGTTTTGTTTTACAGGTAATGTGCTGGTTTTGTTCTCAATAACTCACTGTGCTAGTCTGGGTCACTTCTGCTCAGGAGATCTGCTGCTCTTTGTCCAATGCCAGGAGAGCTAGTTTCCATGATGCATTGTTTTTCCTCCATCTCACCACAGAAAAATGGGAACCAGGGAAATACAACCTGCAGTGACAGATGACAGCGTTGCCATCCCCAAAGGATTCACAAGGTCAAATTTCATTCTAAATGCTGAGACACCACACAGCTGGAAACCAGAGCACTCTGGTAGGTGCTCCCTGCTTACCTAGCCTCGTCATCTACACGTAGACCTGTACAGTGAGAGCTCTGAGGGATTTTACTGCTGCTTCTCTGGCCAGAAGTTGATGGGTTTTGCAGTCAAGGCACATCGTGCAGTGGGCAATAGGACTGCTTAGCTGTCCCCTCCTGAATACAGAAGGGAGACAGCTGAAATCAAGCTTCTTTCAGAACACAGCAAAGGTGACATTGCAGTGGATGCTAACATGAATGGCAGCTTTGACAGGTTAAGGATTGCCACCTAATAACAGCACTCAGTATAGATACAGAGGTCTAAGTTTTTAAGAATCTGTATCCATAGTCAGGAGACCAAAGAACTTAGTTTCCTGGAATATTGGTGCCTTTGTGAAGTCCCTGGTTGGGAAATTGAAATTGTCAGTTTGTAAACCTATGGGACCAATATCATGTCTTAATGGGCTTTTTACAAGGTGATGTTAATCACAAAGAAAAGTTAGAGGAGATAATGCTCTTAAAACAAAAACAAACAAACCAAACCCCTCACTTCAACAAAACAAAAGCTTTCTTACCTCACAAATATCTGGGATAAACTTGACAGTGGCCCCCTTAAGCTCCCATGGAAACTGCCCTGGCTCTCTTTTTTCTCTTCAGGTGCCTGTTTTCAAGCCCTCTGGTCCCCAGCAGACAGCACAGGGTGGAAGGGACGGCGTGTTTCAAAGGCTTTTGTAATAAGAGCCATCTGATTTGCCAAATTGCGTCAAAGGTCAAAGACTGTGTCGGTAGGAGCACAGCACAAAGCTAATGATCTCTTTATGCTCCCACTTGGACACGGGTCACTTAAGGAGGCAGCAAGGCCTTTCTCATAGAGACGGCCACCTTCGGAGCAGCGCACACAAGGGTGTTTTGAATATGTGGATGTATTTTTCTGTAAAGACGTCACCGCTGTTTCCACAGGCCTCTTGAGCAGCCCTGGGGCAGCAGCTGCAGGCACAGCCTGGCTGTCCCCACAATGGAGCTTCCACCTGCCGACAGCTAAAGGGGTCTGTAGCCAGGTGGGGCTCTGCCTCTTCTCCCAGGACGAGAGGACGTGGTCTTAGAGCTGCGCCGAGGGGGTTTACGTGTGACACAGGAAGACTTTCTTCACAGGAGGGGTGATCAGACACTGGAATGGGCTGCCCAGGGAGGTGGTGGAGTCACCACCCCCCAGAGGTGTCTAGGGAAAGACTGGACGTGGCACTTGGTGCCATGGCCTAGTTGACATGGTGGTGTTGGATGACAGTCCGGACTTGATCTCTTTTCCAACCTATTTGACTCTGCGATTCTGTGCAGCCGGGGGCTGCGCAGGGACACCGCCACCAGCCCGCCTCCAGCGCCTCGGCCAAGGCCATTCCCGCCTCCCGCCTCCCTCCTCCTCCCCTGGCCGCAGCCCCTCTCTCCCGCGTGAGGGGGAGGCGGGAGCCCCGCGGGAGGCGGGGCGGGGGCGGGGGAGGCTCGGCCGCCGCCGGGGCCGATTGGCGGGGCCGATTGGCTGGGGCCGGCTGGGCGGGCGGGGCCGGGGCGCGGCCGGCGGCGGCAGCGGGGCCGCGCTCGCAGGCTCGGCCAGGGAGGTGCCGCTCTCGCACCGCTGGGGCGCTGCCGCCGGTGCCCGGGCGCGGGAGGAGGTAAGAGCCGCCGCTCCCCGGGCCAGGCCGGCCCCCCGGGGCAGCGCCGGGGCTGGGGGTGAGGGAGGGGAGGACACCAGAGGGAGCGGGGCGGGATCCGGGGCGCGGAAGCGTCTCCCGGCGGCTGCTGGGCGGGAAGGGCCGCGGCAGGGCCGCCGCTGCCCCCGCGGGGCTGGCACGGCACGGAGAGGGGCTGGGAACGGCAGGGAGCGGGGCTGGGAACGGCAGGGAGCGGGGCTGGGAACGGCAGGGAGCGGGGCTGGGAATGTCAGGGAGCGGGGCTGGGAATGCCAGGGAGCGGGGGCTCGAACGCCGCTGCCCGACGAACCGCGCGGCTTTTGTCATGATGCACAGAATAAATCCGGCTCCGTGATTAAAAAATGAGTAATTCGTGCTTGGTAAATTGCAGCGGCGGAGTCGTCTTTAAATTGCTGCTGTTTGTGTGCAGTTTGCTGTCCAGGCTGGGGGGAGGCGAGATTAGGTTGTCACCGGTTTGAAAAAAAACAACCAACCAACCAACCCTCTGATTTAAGCCGAGCTGAACATAACAGTTAACATACCCCGCGGTCCTGCCTGCGTCTGTGGGGTTTGGAAGGCGTGCGAAGCAAGTGCACTTGGAGTTGTACATTCCTTTTCACATACGTCGGATCCCCCGGGGCAGCAGGCATGCCTTCGCTTTCTTCCGGGTTTCCTTTTTTTTCCCCCCCTTCTCTTCTGGCAGCCTGGAAAATTTCCATCTGCCGAGCGGCAGCAGCCAGCCCTGTAAAAAGGGGCACCACGCATGTTGAACTACATCGCTCACCGCTTTAAGCATTCTATTTCCCTTCCCGCCTGCAGGAACTGTTTCTCTGAGTTCAGTGTGTACAGGTGAACAGGATCAGATGGAGCGCAGAAATCAAAGCAGATTTCCATCTAGAACTGTCCATCTTGGACTTTGGTTTTAGCAGCAGTGCCTCTCCCCCCCACCTTCCCTCCCCTTTTCAATACCTCAGTTCGTGTTTGCAGACATACCAGCTAGCAAAGCACGGACTGTTGTGTGTCCAGCTGAAAGCAACGCTGTTTACATAACAGGAACTGAAGAGCAGGTTCCTGCTCCTGACTTGCAGAGACGCTTGAAAACCAAAACTGTCGTCAGCATTTATTTTTGGCCAGAATAAGAGGCCTTCTGAGAGTTGAATTTGATAGGGAACAAATGCATGAATTAGCTGGTGAATTTGGACTGATCCTCTGCTTCATGCTGTGGATACAGGGGAATCTAAATATAGGTAGCATTTCATGTTCTCTTCTCAAGCTGACAGAAGTGAAAAGGAGTGTGGGTTTTGTTAATTATCAGGCTTTCTATTTGTTGGTGCTTTGTTTCACAGAAGGAGGTTAATGTGCTCTTGTTATGAGTCAAGGATAACAGGAAGGAAAAAGCAACTCAAGAAGTAAATCAGTTTTTAAATACCTGTACGTACACTGAAATAGGGGTGTGATATTGCCATCACCCTTCAGTAAAATGGAAAATCTTAAATTCCAAGTGGTTCCACATTCAACTGATGTAACAACAGTGATTTCCAGAACATTCAGCCTTTTATCAAGTCAAGAGTTAATTTTTAAGTGCTAAGTAAAGAAACCTTTCCTCTTTCCATGCAGAAATTGCATGAAAGGTAAACAGAGAGCGTCTAAACCAACATGCTTTGAGCTGTGAATGAGTTTAACGAAGACCTCCCAAAAGCTGTGTCACTGCCATTTTCTACTGAAGCAACCACTTACTAAGTTACCTTTGACTGCATGTTTTTTACAACCACACGGATTTTATGTGGCAATTTAAAAACACATTTTTAACAAATATCTCGGATCTACAGATACACTTGTGATTGGCTTGGGGAAAGTACGAGAGCAAGGCATGGCAGCCCAGAATTATGATGTCTCTGGGGTACACGTGTTGCTCTTTTCTGTTTGATTACGTCAGGCTACTCTGCTGCCTTTTTTTTTTTTTTTGCATTCACCATAAGCCTGGATATTTTTAGTTCCTTTATTATGGCATATAATACCTTCCACTCATAATTTTGCTCTCAGCAAACTTTAAGCAATTAAGTTAGAAATCCCTCTCTTAAAATTTTGTATGGTTGGTTAAAGTGATCTGATGGTCCAGTTCAAATTACTCTGGTGCAACAACATGTAGTTATCACAAACTGCATCCCAGACTTTCACTGAGTTAGCTTTTACTGTACAAAAGGTCAAATAAGCCAATCTTTCTACATTTTTCAGCGTGCTAGATGAGTCATCATTAGTGAATTTTTGTCTGTGCTGAGCCAAGGAGAGTGTTTTAATTTGTCTGGATGGCAGAAGAGATTTGAAAAGCCAGCAGAAGATCTTGCTTGCCTGTGTGAGCCAAAGGAATACATTTCAGGGTTATGTGGCAGAGAACTTCAGGACAGACAAAACAGCAAATAGCTACATGGGCTTTGTTTGAGGGGGAAGGTTGCGGGTGCAATTGTGGATGTCCATGGATACACTCTTAGTGGTCATTCTTAGCACAAAAAAAAAAAATCACAATTAACTTTGCAGGTTTGTGATGAAAAGCATTGTTCAAGACCTCCATAAATGTGACAGAACTGAATATCCTGTACAGATGAAAAAATGCTTTAAAATCCAGGCAAATACATTTCTTCCCCCTTTTCCCCTGGGGAGCCACAGTGCGGATGTTTGAAGAGCATGCACGATAAGCTCATTTTCACAACCTTATCTCCTATTTTCACCCACTCATATTTTAGAAAAGTCATTATCACTCTGATTTGCTCCATCACAACCACCCCAACCACTGAAAATTCAGGATGTCATTTTGCAGGTGGCCAGCAGGAATGCCTTACCTTGTTCTGGTTTAGATGTGGGCTGCTGAGTGTGGGATAGTTTCTCAGTGAGTCACACAGACCGCACTGCGCTTGCTTCTAGGCAGAGCTGTGCTCGGCATGATTAGCGGGCTCTGAGGGTGACACTGTTTCCTGAATGATGTAACTGAAAATTCCCTTTCCCGCGCTTCTTGTTTCCTGATCAGTTTCCTCATTGTTCTCCAGGACGTTCCGGCAGCCACAGTATCTTTTACTCCTGATCTTTTTTTTTTTTCCTGAGAATCTCTGTGAAGACAAGTTATGTCAACAGCTACTTTAATTAATTTGGTACGAAATGGAGGGTATCAAGTAAGAAGGAGAGCCGTGCTCACGTCCCGCCTCTTGCAAGACGAGAAGCGCCCGACAGGCGCCTGCTACACCTCCAGCTCTGAGCGCCATGCTTCCCGCTTCGATCCGGATGGGAGTGGGCGGCCGACCACATGGGACACCTTTGGCATCTGGGACAATCGCATTGATGAGCCCATTCTCCTCCCACCAAGCATAAAGTATGGGAAGCCGATTCCTAAAGTGAGCCTGACCAACGTGGGCTGCGCGAGCCACATCGGGAAGCGCAGGGAGAATGAAGACCGGTTCGATTATTCTCAGCTGACGGAGGATATCCTGTACTTTGCAGTATACGATGGACACGGTGGGGCAGCAGCAGCTGACTTCTGTGACAAGTACATGGAAAAATATATTAAGTAAGTGCACATCAAGTGAATGTGTGTCAAATAAATGTCAGTAGAGATTCCATCCTTAGGACTGAGGGAGAATTGGAGGGTTTTACAATGTTGCTAATCCTCCTAGATTATGTAGCCACCTGTCCTAATAGGACAGCAGGAGCATCAGGTGAAACAGACACGCCACGAACTACTTATTCTGTGGTGTGGCTGCCCCATGGAGCAAGCCCATAAGGGTGAGAGAGGAAAACACAATTGTACTCACCATCCAGGAAATGACTGGGAACACAGGGAGAGTGTGAATTGACGTGGGGTCACTGTGATTGCTGACCTACAGCTTGCTTACACTCTCACTGTGATTGCTGACCTACAGCTTGCTTACACTCTTTTATCTCTATCCCATCCCTGGATGCTGGAAGAGGAATTTACATATTTGTAAAATTACTTCCAGTAAATTGCTTCCAGTGCAGGTCATTAGTAAAATCATGTTACCTTTTCACTGAAATGCAGCATTATTCAATGTGTACAAGGAGGAGATAGGAATATGAAGCAGATTAATCAAGATGGGTATTTCTTGGAAAGAAATTTAGTTTTTTGTTTGCTTGTTTGTTTCCAGGGAATTTCTTGCTGAGGAGGAGAACTTGGAGAATGTTTTGAGCAAAGCTTTTCTAGAAATAAACAAAGCATATGAAAGGCATGCTAATCTCTCTGCTGATGGTAGGTAAAAAGATATTCTACTCATATGGGTGTGGACAATAATGTATGTCTTATTTCTCAGTAGTATTGCAGTAAAATGTCTAGAAAAGTGCTTGAAAACAGTTTTACTTAACACA